CAAATGCGACCTAACGTCCAGGTCGCCTTCATCCGAACTGAACGTCACTGATGCTCAACAAATCTCACTATTCTGTGTCCTGATACGCGCAAGTGGGAAGAAAAACAACAACCATGACGGATTGTATGAGGATTAAGTTGTTAATATGCTGCTCCAGTTGGACAACAACTTCAAATATGTAAGCTAAGCTCCACCGTTAGCCTCCATGTTTACTTCCGCAAACAATGAGCACTTCTTCTTTTTATGGCGGTTGGCAGAACACTGAGAAGCTGACTCTATGGCGCCCTCTACTGCGCATGCGGGACACTTTCAGGTCGTTTGCCCGTTCAGACTGCAGAGCGCATACAGGTCGCATTTACTGGCAGTGTGAACGCCCCGGCAAAAAAATCGGAATTGCCAAAAAATCGGAATTGAGTCACTTCAGGCTGCAGTGTGAACACACCCTTGGATATCCGATACCTAACCGATCTTTTCAAATCTGAACGTCATTTATACTCGACAAACGTCACTATTCTGCGTCCTGATTCGCGCAAGCGGTAAGAAAAACAACAAACATGGCGGACGATAATGAGGATTAAATTGTTAATGTTTAGGCTCGGTCGGACAACAACTTCAGAAACGTGAGATATGCTCCACCGTTAGCATATGTGTTTCCTGAGCACTACTTCTTCTTCTTTGTTATGGCGGTTGGCAAAACACTGAGCTCGCTCTCTGTGTGACGTCATTGCGCCCTCTACTGCGCGTGCGGGACACTTTCAGGTCGTTTGAAGTTCACACTGGAGATCTTATAAGTCGCATATATTTGGAAGCGTGAAGGACCACGGCAGAAAAAAAAGTGGTTTGACAAAAAGAAAATCTGATTTTTGGTTTGAAGTAGAGTTAGGTTATAAAATAAGACAAGTTTTTATAACCTAATTCTACTTTGAACTACTCCACTACTTTCTCTGTTGTGTTCCTTGGTCTTTATGGTGCTGTTTTTCTCTAATGTTCTCTAGTAAACCTCTGAGGTATTTATAGAACAGCAAACTTAGATTAAATTACAAACAGTTACGACTCGGTTTGCTATACTTCTAAAGGACATTGGTTGTTTTGGATTTTCCTGAGGGGTATCAGTGTAAAGGGGGCAAGAGAACACACCACATTTTTTCCAACTTATTTGTAAAAGAAAATTTGTAGCACGATCAATTCACAACTACATTTTTGCGCTCCTTTGTGTTTGTCAATCACGTAAAAGGTTGCATGCTGCATGTTGCATACTTAGAAGTAACTTTTTTAGTAAGAAATAGCAGCTTCTTTAAGACAATAATTCCTTAATGTTGATGAAAAATGACTAGTCCCACTGGCAGATTGTATTACTTAGATCAAAAAAATCATTTTTGTCATGTTAAATGTTTTAATTTTTGGTTGTGAAGAGGCTGTTTTTCAAATTTCTACACTGCAAAAACACAAAATCTTACCATATATTTGTGTCTAGTTCCTAGTAAATATCTTTGTACACTTGAGATACATTAGTACAATAAACACAATTGTGTTTATTGTACTAATGTACAATAAACACAATTTGTGTTTATTTAGAGTCTGATATAACAAATGCTTTTTTTTATAGTCTCCACTGCTAGAAATGAACACTGAGCTACTGCTTTTAACAAAGTTCTGTATGCCAATGTGATAATTTAAAGTTTAAACTAAAGCTAAACTAAAGTTTATTGCTTTAGTTTAGCAATAAACTAAACTTCAAGCAGCTTTACAGTAAGATTGGAGCTTGTTTTAAGTAACTAATTCAGAGTTCCACTGGCAGATTATTCACTCATAAGAAGACATTTTTATCATCTTATAAGTGAAATAATTTACCAGTGGAACTAGTACTTTTTAAAACAAGCTCCTATATCTTGCTGAAAGTTACTTTTGAGTTAATTTTTATCTTATTTCAGGTGTATTAAGTTACTTGCACTAGGATCAAGACAAAATTGGTTGGTAAGATTTTGTGTTTTTCCAGTGTAACATAAAATGTGAAAAATTCAAGGAGAACAAAACAATAAAAAAAGATTCATTTTTGATTTTTTTGTTTATGTCAAGCACTTCTTTTGGTCAGATAAAACGTTGTTTTATAGATCGGCTCTTCAGTGTGACACTCATTCAGACGTCTCTCCTCTTTCCTCTATTTTCTGCTACACTAACCCGACTCATCAGAGCCCAAAGGGCATTCAGCCCATTTTGCAGCATCGCTATGACAATCCAACAAGAAGGGGTGTTTAGTTTGACTGGTGCAGTCACCTTGATAAATGACCCTGTTATTGCTCTGACCGAGCAGCGTTCCCTGGGAATTCAGCGCTGGAGTAACTGAACACACACACACACACACACACACACACACACACACACACCCCCGCTCGCACGCACACACACACACCAGCCGACTCTCTGCCCCAGTCCAGCTGACACACACACTCAGATCACTTTACATGCTCACTGGGCGACAAGACTTTTAACAAATAGCTGCTTAATGAGTCTCTTTCTGCTGCAAGGCGAGCTAATTAAATCTCGGACTAGGAAACAGTTCAAAAGGTCACAGTGATATTGAGAGAGAGAGAGCAACAAACAATTGTTTCAGTTATTGATTAATTTGATGATTAATTGGATGAGAACATGCACGTTCAGCAGATTTTTCATTTATTTTATACAATATTAGAAATACATTAAAAGATATAAATTATTTAATCATTTTTTAGATAAACATTTTATTACAGTAAAACAACATTCCTTTAGTGTACGCATGATTGTTTGTAGCAAATGACGCATTTAAAGCTAAAAAATATACTTTCAATAATGTGAACAGCTCAGTTTGACTCAACATCAGAACAATGTAGGATAATCAAAAGGTTGCAAAAGGTGCTTAATGGGATATTTGTACAGAATTTGAACTGGGTGAAGCTAAAACTAGTATGTCAGTTTCTGGGTTGAACATATTTACAAAGAATGTTTCTTTTATCATAAAAACAAAATGTATATATTTTTTGTGACCACAAACTTTGATCTAAAAGCCTCTCTCCTGCGGAGGGTTACCTAGTTGACAACTGGTGAGCGCTGCAAAAACACAAAGTCTTACCAAGTATTTTTGTTCTAGTTTCTAATGCAAATATCTTTGTGCACCTGAAATAAGAAAAAAATATCTTCCAAGTATCTTTTCAGAAAGACAAATAAGTCAATAATTCATTAATATTGGTGAAAAAATGTTAGTTCCTCTGGCAGATTAATTCACTTATAACACAGGAAATAGTCTGACAGTAAACTAGAACTTTTTCATTAATATAAAGAAATTATTTACTTAAAAACAAGCTCCTGTTTCTTGCTGAAAAGCTAATTGTAAGCTAGTTTTTTCTCTTTTCAAGTGCACCAAGATATTTCCACTAGAAACTAAACCAAAAATACTTGGTGAGGTTTTGAGTTTTTACAGTGTTTCCATTAATGTGGAGAGGTTTCCCAATAACAAGCTTCCACAAATGTTAAGATAAAGGTTAACAACTCCTGCATAAAATCACAACACAACCTTTAACATGCAGTTTCAGAATTACACTGAAAAACAACTTCTGATGTATTTAGACAGTTATGAAGCAGAAGTCATTAATCATACACATCACCAGGTCTGCAGACATGAAGGAAAGTTTCTAAAACACACAACATCACGTCTCTGTTGTTTACTCATGTAGAAAACTAGAGCTGAAGGTTCAGACCTTTGACTTGTGGCCCAAGCCGCCATCCAACCTCGTAAAGCTATCGGGCGTAAAGTGGAGACCTCCTTCATGCTACAGTAAACCAAAGGAGAGGCGGGATAATGTGTCTCCTCCAGCACCCCTGACAGCCATCAATAATTCATACACAAGCACTCTGGAACCTGAAATAAACACATAACCTCAACAGGTATAAACACAAACACGTCCAACATGGCTTCACGGGAGAACCACAGCTAACAGCTGGTTTCTGCAGAAACTACAAATATGAAACATAAAAATACAAGGTCAACATGTTGGTGACACATATTTCCATTAGAAATTTATTGATTTGAGCTGATATGAAGTTGGGATTTACATTTACATTAGGAGTTCAGCAGATTGAAGTAGAGCAAAGCTTGGAAATATGCACCAATACTGAGTCATCAGAAATGCAAAATGACTTCAGTCTCAACATTTACAGTACAGAATATCACGTGTAAACAATTAATCTATTCAGAGGTAGATGGGCTGCAAAACAAAACAAAACAAACAAAAAAACAGGTTGCTGAAGTAAAATGATAAAATGAAATGTTTTAATGTCCAAAACCAGGAAGTTAAGTTACACAGAATGAAACTCCAACACACACTACTGTCGAAAGTTTTAAAGTACTCACCTGAAAAGCTAAGGAAAGTTTGTTTTTATCTGATTAATCGATTAATCGTCACAATAATCAATTCCTAAAATAACTGTTAACTGCAGCCCTAGCATCTTTTAATGTTTTTCTAATATTGTTTAAGAAGGCTTAAGTGGTTAAATGAAAAACCTGCAGAATAAGCTAATTTGATTAATCGATTAAACGTCAGAACAATCAATAGAATAATCTGTTACTAAAATAATTCATTGCAGCCGTAGCATTGTTTAATGTACTATTATGATTGTGTAATAAAACCTTTAAGTGGTTAAAAGAAATTCTGGAGAATGTGTCAAATCTTTTTTTTATTTGATTTCCCAATTAATCGATTAATCGTCAGAATAATCCTTAGCTGCAGCCCTAATATTCATGCAGCTGTAAAATCCCAGATTTAGGAATCAACCTAAGCGCTGAGGTGTGGAGTAAACAGCAACATAACCAGGTAAACTGGTTGTTTCCCTTGAAGTGAAAGCAGCAACATGCCGTCACTTTGAAGGATTCCCCTCGCCTGCCTGCCTGCCTGCCTGTCTGTGTGAGACCATTTGGTCATCAGAACCAACAGAAGAAGAAGAAAATACGTCTATGTGTGACAACTCACAGCCTCTCAGTCCCTCTGGGGATGTGTTTGGGGACGGAGTGGATTCCCCGGCCGTGGCAGTCCACCGTGTTCCCCAGGCAGCTGCAGGGAGCCGGACACGCTTCAGCGCCTCCCGGACCCATCAGGACCGCCCACACCAGCATCGTCCACAGACCCGCCGCCGACCCGGCTCCATCCTTTCTTCTTCCCGCTGGCATCCTGCTGTCCTCCACGGCTCTCCAGGTTGATCCGGACCCGATTTCCTCCTCCTGTCGCCACACCAACACTTGCCTGCTTGTTTGTGAAAGTGGGCAGCAGCAGGAGGATGTGGGTGAAGTTCAGCTGGAGCTGAACAATCCCCACTTGATCCCAGACAGGAATCTCACTGAGATAAAGAGAGGGGGAAAGGACAAGCTCCTCCAGTTGGTTTCTTTTCCTCTGCTCCCCTGTGTGTCTCTCTCTCTCGCTCTGTTGCAGCTGTACAGTGCACTTGCCTCTCCCCTCCACTTTTCATTGAGTCATTGTGCAGCGAACAGTGAGCCACTAGAAAAGAAAAAAGAAAAAGGGTGGGGGGGTTCCCTCTATCCCTCTCTATCGCACACACCCCAGAGTAATCATCTATCAAAAGCTTTTACAAATAACAGCACCCAGACTCCTCCTACACACACACACACACACACACACACACGCACACCCAGAATGAACTCGCATCTATTCAGTGTCAGCCGCCTCCAGTGACAGCAGCGGTCCACTCCTCTTCCTCTCTCCTCTTCCTCCTTTCTCCCCTCCCCAGAGGAGGAAAAGAGCCCAGGGCTCCGGCGACACGATGAGAAGTCGTGATCGCTCTGAAGTATCCGACTGGGAAACTCTGGGGAAGACACGGAAACGGAAAAGAACCTGAGGAAGCTCCGCTCAGGGAAATAAACTTATCAGCATTTAACCAATAAAACTTTGCTTTACGTTTGGACCAGTGCACTGAAAAAACACCAAGTCTTACCTGGTATTTTTCACCAATTTCTCATGAAGGTATCTTGTTACAGCTGAAGTAAGAAAATGCCTGCACAGGTTTCAGTTTTTTGCTGGTGCCAATTTTTTTGACTGAAAAGAAAGTTGCTGAGTCAGGAGCAGTAGAGTGACTATTGTTAACTACAAACCTGCAGAAAACGACAGTGGTTGATTTTTAGACATTTCCTAATAAGATCGGCTTCACATTATGCAGTTACTTTCAAGTTCGCTTGTCTCATTTCAAGCAAAATAAAATATTTGCAGTAGAAACTAGACCAAAATTACTTTGTAAGATTTTGTGTTTTTGTAGTGAAAGGAGCGTTACCGTAGCTGTCAGACTTCAATCAATTAATCAATCAATACAATTTATTTGTGTCACATTTAAGCAGCAAAGCAGTTCAAAGTGGTTCACATCATCAAAACACAAAATTCAACAATTTAAACATTACTTATTGCTGTCATTATAAATCAAAATGTTGATTAATGTTTCATTGGTTATGTTTCAAAAGCAACTCCAAACTGGGTGGTTTTGTCTAGATTTAAAGGAACTCAGTGTTTCGGCTGTGTTGCAGTTTTCTGGACATTTATTCCAGATTTGTGATGCATAGAAGCTGAATGCTGCTTCTCCATGTTTGGTCCTGGTTCTGATTTTAGCAGAGCAGAACCAGAAGACCTGAGAGATCTGAAAGGTTGACTTGATCAAATCATTAAATATTCACATCCACGCTAATCACACAATCACCTCCTCTGTTCCTGCTCACTTCTGTTGCTGTGCATCTTTTAACAAATTTAAATCATTATTAAAATAGACTAACAGCTAGTTTAACCAACATAGTTGCATTTTAATTTAAAATAGAAATAAAAAACCTAATTTTAGAACTATTATTGAACATTACATTTCAGGGTTTTCCCCAGTGTATTGTAAGCCTGGCGGGCCACCAGGCTTAGCATTGCTGATTTATTAAAAATTTTGTTAAATTTAGCATTTTTAAGTCTTTATAGTTGGTGTTCAGGTATTAATCTTCCAATAACACATAATTACCAAGTGATATTTTCAAGTATCCTGTCAACTTTAAACATTTTTTAACTCGGAAACACAGCGGGCTGCTGGATGAAGAACCCAACCACCAGGCTTAGCGGGTCTTCTGGGGAAACCTTGCATTTAAATTGTTTTACTGTGGTCATGTTTTCTTCATAATTCAGAGCCGAGGAAGAGCTTTGGTTAATTAAAGCGTTTCTGTTGATTCCAGCGGAGCTGAAATGCCGTCAGCTGCCACAGATCTTACTCAGAAGTCTATTATGAATCCGCTGACAAAGCTTTGAAATTCAAACTCAGTCGGGTTTGAAACCCGCCACCAAATCTCCACAGAAACCAAGACTTTTTTAAACTGAAGAATAAAAACTGAGGATGAGATGTGGTGGAGTGAATGCAGTAATGATTCACCTAAAATACAAAGATTTAAAGCTTGACCATTATCAACCGGGGTGGCACGGCATTTTTTATGCACGTGATTATTTGTGATGGTTTCTCCTTGTTCCCGCCCTGAAGGCTTTCTATGATGGGTTCGTTTAACCAGGCAGGCCTCAGAAGTTTTGGAAAAACAAATTGGCTGCAGCCAGAGCCCAGCTGCTGCCTTTGTGAACAGAATGACTCATTTGGCCATAATCGGCCACAAAGCGAAGGGCAAAGACACCGACATCTCAGGGGTGGGACTCTGTTGTTTCTGGGGCAAAAGTAGCTGGTTAAGGACCAACGGATCCATTGGGGAGACGGGTTCCCACAGACACATCTCAAATTATTTCTGGAAGATGCTTTTAAATGACCGTTGTAGATAAAGGGATAAAAAAAGAAAAATTTCCACAAAAAGAGACTTTTTTAGATTAATGTCAGGAAATTTCCTTAAAAAAAAAAAAAAAAAAAAAAGGGATTTTTTTTTTAAAGTTGAAGATTTGGTTTAAAAAAAATTTACTCAGAATTTTTTACACTGATCTCAGAAATTTTCTAGAAATAAAAATAAGGAAATTTCTTCGTTTTAAAAAAATCAAAAAACAGAAATTCAAAAACCTAACATTTTGAAATTGACCTCAGAATTGTTGTAGAAAAAAAAAACATGGAAATTTCTCAATTTGAAAAGTCCAAAATTTGCTTGAACAGAAAATAAAATTTAGGTTAATCTCCAAAATTTCTAGAGAAATAGGAAAATATTTCAGTTTGAAAAGTCAAAAATATGCTAGAAAAAAACTTAAATTGTTAACTATTTTCAGAAATTATCTTTTTAAAAAAATGACATTTTAGAGTTTGACAAATTGAAGATTTGCTAGAAAATAAATCAGAAATCTTTCTCAGAAATTTTCTAGAAAAAAAAACATGGAAAATTCTGAATCTGAAAAGTCAAAAAATTGCTAGAAAATAAATCTTGAAATTTTGAGACTAATCTCAAAATTTTCTGAAAGAAAACAAAATTTTTGAGTTTGAAAGTTGAAGATTTGCAAGTAAAAATCTCAACATTTTGAAATTAATCTAAAATTTTATAGAAAACATGAAAATTTCTGAATTTGAAAAGGCTTCATATTCAAGTCATTTTTAAAAGAACTCGATGGTTTCTTATTTCTAACAATATGATGGCGTCCTCTAGTGGAGAAACAAAGTAATACATCACAAACAACTTAGAAAAATAATCGATTCCTTCAGAAAATCTACATAAACTCACAAAACGCTGTTTGTTAGAAAATGAAGACATTTAATTCAAACAGATTCCTTACTAAGGAACACTCTGTACAAGGTTAGCTTACTTTACATTAAAAAAATACAAAAACAAGTAACCACAGTTAAAACCACTTAGAGAAGTCACAGGTTAATTCAACACAATATTGGAGTGTTGTGCTTGGACAAACCAAACAGAATATTGTTAAAGTGACCTGTTAGTATCCCAACAATAAAAAATAGTGTAGAAATTTAATAAAAAACTAAAATAAAAATGTCACTTATCTCCACAGTCCAACTTTCCTCTGCAGGCCAGAAGAAATGCAACAGGTTTACTCTGAGTATTTATGTGTAACTTAAAAATAATGCTTCACAGCACAATGTAACAGTTTAAAAGACTGAACATGTTCCTCTTACTAAGAAATGATTCCAGAAATTAAATCCAAAGTGAATCTTCCAAACCCCAGCCTCTTCACAACCAAACATTAATCTTCAGACGACAGATAAATATCAGAAAATAAAACCGATGTACGTCTAAAAAGAAGAACAAGGCATCCAAACCAAGATAAATGAGGTATATTATTGTCCTTCTGTCAGGTTCAGCCCTTCATCACTTTCATCCATCCATCTTTCCTGCTTCCTCAGAGCATCCAAAACCCAAACAAGAGGCAGCAGCAGCACATTTCCAGCCCAGGTAAGAAAATCGATCTTAAAGGAGAAACGTCGCTCCATCACATGATGAATCACAGGTTACAGTAACATGGCCTCCACACAGAAATCAGAGCAAATTTCACATTTATTAAGGAAATACTACCAAGGAGAACTGGGGGGTTTAGAGGAGAGGCCGTGTCAGTGTGTCCATCTACATATTGGGGCAAATGTAGAATGAAAAAGTAAAGTAACTTTCCACCAAAAAAAAAAAAATTCGTTTGAAACTAATGAAATTTCTCAGTTTCAAAAGTTAAAAATTTCCTAGAAAAAAATGTAAAAATTCAGAGTTTGACAATGTGAAAGTGAAAACTGTGAAATTTTATAGGAAAAACAAGGAAATTTCTGAATTTCAAAAGTCAAATATTTGCTAGGAGAAAGACGCCAAAAGTTTGGATTAATCTCAGAAATTTTTTTTTAGAAAAAACTTTAAAATTTCAGAGTTTAACAGTTGAAAAAAAAATCTCAGAAATTTTTAGATTTTCTAGACAAAAATGTTTTAAATTCTGAGTTTGAAAAGTCAAATATTTGCTAGGGAACATAAACTCCAAAATTTTGAGATTAATCTCAGAAATTGTCTAGAAAGATAATTGTGGAAATTACTCAGTTTCAAATTCAACAATTTTCAACTTTTGGAAAGGTTCTTGGTGTCAAAGGTTCTCTCCAGAAAATTTATGAGATTAATCTAAGAATTTCAGATTTTTTTCCCAGAAAATATTCATCTTTTCAAACTCAGACATTTTTAAGTTTTTGTTTTCTATAAAGTTTTAAGTTTTTTTTGGTGGAAATTGTGCTCCTCTTTGCTCTGCATATAATGGTCCGAATGCGCCATCATGTCATAAAGTCTGAATACACACAAAAAAACGCCTCATTTCAGAACAAAAAACCAAAGTGTTAATGGTTCTGCAAAGGTAAAAATCAACGATCTTGTGTTTGCTTTACCCAATCAGAAAGATTTCTCAGATTAAAGTCGTTACCTGTTGGGCTCTTTGTTGATTTCTGCTCAATCTGATGGGAAAAAATCCCTTCCTTCAACTTCCACTGAAACCATCAGCAAATCCTCCAAACTCCATGAGACAAAAATAACTTCCTGTCATCAATGAACCCAAATAAAAATAAATAAAACACCTCAAAATAAAGGTAATGTTACACTTGATATTCCATTAAAATGCAAAAGACTTGATGTTCTCATTTGAACAGCATTTAGGGAGAGCGTCATGAACTCAGCTAAAACGTTAAAAAATACACTGAAAAAAGAGAACAGGTGATTCAACTTAAATATATTTAAACTAATTAGTCACAAATAATCAAATTAAGCTTAATCAAGTTAATTTATTAGGTTTATTGTGCATTTTCAGGTTAAACAAATGTAAATAATGTAAGCTTGACAAACTTCATTCAAATATTGGTGACTA